CCCGCCTGCATCAGCCGGGGCTAACGTTAGCCCGTCTGCAGCACCTGGGGCTAACATTAGCCGATCTGCAGCAGCCAGGGCTAACGTTAGCCCGTCTGCAGCACCTGGGGCTAACATTAGCCGATCTGCAGCAGCCAGGGCTAACGTTAGCCCATCTGCAGCAGCCAGGGCTAACGTTAGCCTGCCTGCAGCACCCAGGGCTAACGTTAGCCCGCCTGCAGCAGCCGGGGCTAATGTTAGCCCGTCGGCAGCAGCCGGGGCTAATGTTAGCCCGCCTGCAGCAGCAGGGGCTAACGTTAGCCCGTCTGTAGCAGCCAGGGCTAACGTTATCCCGTCTGCAGCAGCCGGGGCTAATGTTAGCCCGCCTGCAGCAGCAGGGGCTAACGTTAGCCCGCCTGCAGCAGCCAGGGATAAAGTTAGCCCGTCTGCAGCAGCCAGGGATAAAGTTAGCCCGTCTGCAGCAGCCAGGGATAAAGTTAGCCTGTCTGCAGCAGCCAGGGCTAACTTTTCCACTTGAGGAGTTCTGAATAGAGCAGATTGACAGATGAAAACCTTTTTTCATTGTAAATACAAAATGTTTATATCTTATTACAATTTTACAGTCTCTATACTCCATTTAATGATTAATCATTACTAAATTAATTGATAATTGTTTCAATAATCAATGAATCACAATTAGTCCACTCGTTTAAGACCCAGTGCAAAAACATGGATTAAATATGAAAGGGAAGATGTTGAACTTTGCCTGAAACTACTGAATACGTTAATTAAGTCATTGCATTTTGGAGATTTTGTGGCACATAATTTACTGTTACATAGTTTAAATAATAGCATGATGCAACGCTGCATAGGTGGGAATATTTTGTAGCCCCTTAGAGTCAGAGGGACTAAAAAGCAGCAATAATCTAATGAAGAGTTTGGCACAGTTCTGTATGCTCAGAGGAAAGACCATTTTTTTCAAATGTTAATATCAGAAGCAAACCCAGTATTGATGATGGGATTGTTCCTGTTAGTATGGAACAAACAGCTGCTGTGAACAAACAAGCAGAGGTCAAATTTCCCTAAACCTAACCCAATATAATTACAGGTTCTATTTATAGCATTAAAACGGAATAGTAAACACACAAATGAAAAAGGGGAATATTATGAAATAAATCTGAATATTTAGCTCCTAAAATATCTTAATTGGTGAAGTTTTCCATATTGATTTTGCTAAAACTTTAAAGATGAAAATTTTTATGTGATCAGGTCCAGGAGACAGAGGCGTAGACAGAAAATGTTAA